CCTCTTTCTCTGGCCTCTGCACATTCAGCAGGAAGGGGAAGGCTGCCCCCAGATTTGCTTATTTGTTCTGTGCTACCTCCGAGCTCCAGAAAAGCTCAGGGACTTTCTGTGATCCTGTCAGCGTGTCCTAAGCAGCTGATGAAAGGCTTGGAGAAGAATGGCCTCCAAAAGTGGAGGTAGGTGGCTTCAGGGGATGGAAGCCACTTTTCACCTGCTGACTATTCCACGCTGCCCTTAGCAGTAATCCACTGGGATTCAAGTGCCTGGCTGAACCTCTTTGGCTTTTGCACTCTCACTATGGGCATTTTTGACCTCACTGTTTGACTGATAGTTGAAAGTGTATGTCCTATTCGTTGTGAGGAAAAACACGACAGAACTAAGAGGAAAAAATGTTCAGTTTTGTTTCTAAAGATCAATAGCGTAAGATTTTAACTTCATATTCACTTGTGGCTCATTCTGCAGCTGGGTCAAGTCTCCTCGTTATGTACCTAGTGGAAATGTAAGGGAGCTCTGCTCATTTGTGTCAGCTGGCTCTACAGCTTGTCACTTGTTTCTCCTAGATTGACCCATAAAACCCTAAGTGGGGTGGGATATAATGGCCCAAGAGAGCACACTTAAACTTCTTGAGGTAGTCTTTCTTCTAATGGCACCCAGCTGACCAAGTTAAAGTACTTTGATTCTCACCTGCTTGTCTGCCTTCCTCTACTGATGAAGAATGTAGGGTGCCCTGTCCCTGGTTGTTCCAAGGCGAGGCTGGATCAGGCCCTGGGCAACCTGATCTTGTCCCTGTTCATTGCAGGGGAGTTGGACCTAGATGGCCTTCAGGAGTCCCTTGCAACTGTAAGGATTCTATGATTTTATGATTTTGAGACTGGAGCCAGGAGTCTGATGCCAAAGATTTTGGAAGGTCCAGACCTCAGGGAGCTGTGACCTCTGCTTAGATAAGTTGTATGTCTGTGCTCCAATGCCCATCGTTTGCTAGTACCTTTCTCTCTTGTGAGACTGATCTGAGATAAAAATACAGTCACATTTATTTGTAAAGAGTTGCCTACTTTTGGTGGTATCCTAAGGCTTTGGATGACTTTTCTTAAGTTAAATTCCCAAGAGATGGAGCACAAATCTGTGACCCTGAGGACTCAGATCTTTCGGTGAAGTCAAACAAAACTCTGAGAAAGGCTAAGGGCATAAGTGCTATTTTCATCCATGACATGAGCTCCTTAAGAAGTTTGAAAAATCTCACTCTATGTCCAAATTAACATGCAGTGCTTGGCCCACAGCAAGGGGGCCAGCAGCAAACAGTATGCAGCACTCAGTATGGGCTATGATTTCACTGAGGTTGTGTTAGTCTGAAAAATGGTTGAGTATGACTCTGTTTCACGTACCAAGTTGTCTTCCAGCACTGCAAGATGTACATTTGTGCTGGAGGATTTCAGTGGCCAAGAGTCCTCTCCATCTTCCCTTTTCGCCCTCTTCCTCTATTCATGGCCTCCCACAGGCAGTACAAAAGTGAAGGAGGTGGCTTTGCCTTGAGTGTGGACATGCCCTAAAGGTCTCTGAACTCTATTCCAGCTGAAGTTGTTTCCTGACTTAAATCTTGTTTTCTTTTCCATTTTCATTGTGACAATCAGGTCCTGAGGATAAGACTGTGTTAGGAGGTGGCCAGTAACTATACACTCTTTTTTTTTGCTGTTGTTCCTTCTGAGTATAGAACTAGAGGAAATGCATCTCTTGCAGTCAGCTTTGTCTTTTAATGTTTGCTTTTGACACAAGGGATATGCATTTTATTCCTTAGCTTAGCATCAGTTCATCTCTGTTTTGCAACCAGTATTTTCTGCAAAGAGCTGTATCTGTTGCTGTTTTCAGCTGCAGTTTGCTGCCTACCTTGTGAAGTCCCTCTGTTTTTTGGAAGATATACTTAAGCACTGCAGTAAAAAATGGATTGGTTAAGTCAAGCTCTGCAACTTAAACCATTTGACTTCTCTGGTGCAACTCATGCTAATGTTAAGATGTATGCTAAGATGTAGATAAGACTAGAGGTTGCACTCTGTGGATTGCACAGTGGGAGCTGATATTTGATCAGAATGACTGTAAAGTCAGATACAATTATGAGCCTCTTGTGGTGCAAGATCTTTGCTGGTAGACACTCCAATGTTGAAAGAATCACTCCTAATTTGCAATGAAGTAAAGAAGATCAGAGCAGCCATTCATATCTGCCATATTTGTTGTTTCATGTGTAACTCCACAGGCCTCAGAGGGAAGATCTGCACCCTTAAAATGTTTATTGAAAGCTACATTCAGCAGTGGTTTCCTTCTAAACTTGGCTATGGGTTAGGAAGTAAATTCTGAATGTCATTCACCAAAGTATGTTATTAAAAGCTGTGTATTTATACTCAGAAGTACTCGTGGGTGAAGCACTCCTGAAGAATTTCAGCAAACTTCAGAAGCAACCTTAAGACCAAAGAAATTGCTCTGAAGAATGTATTCAAATGTATTTTCCTACCTATCACAAGCAGATTGGATAAAGGCAAATATACTTATCTGGCTCAGCACACACTAGGAAGATCAAGTGGGAATGAATACTGAGAATGTACCTTTTTGCCTTCCAACACAAAGGATGCAATCTGAACTCTTTTTAGCTTCGTTGCTTCCCCATTCTGGGACACTGTTGTATCATCAGTCACACGGGAAAAAGACAGATGCTGAAACTGAGGCTGTACAATGTAGTAAATCCAAGCATGCCTGACAGCCTTTCTTGGCCTGGGAACACAATTATCTTTGCTAGTAAACTGCTAGCGTGTTCTCTGGTGTGAGCACGGTCCTTTGCAGCTGACACTTGCTCTGAACAATTCTGGGGCCTGACTTGGCAACTGGAGCATGCCAGGGACCATCCTCAGTAGGCAGTTTGCTTGCTGCTACCCTGCTTAGGAGTCTAGCAGGCTGTGCTCTACCAGCTGGCCTGAATGTATGATCGTATGGCAACAATGGCCAAGTTTATTGACAAAGATATAGCCTGACAGTAATCTGGCACGTGGTGTGCATGTGCAATACTGAAATTCAGCATGGAGCACGCTAGCTATTCAGTGACATGTGCAGATATGTCAGTTGAACTCCCGGGCTTTCATGATATGCTACCTTCATAGAGAGAAGTGGGACATTTGAGGTCAGATTCTACCATGTAGGGTCTTGGGAATCCCCTAATGGGGCATGTGTGGAGTAGGCCTTTGCCAGCCTAAGATACTTGTAACTGAGATAAAATCCTGCCTGACTCATGTAACAATGAGAAAGGAAAATCACAATGGGAGTGAGTGATCCATTGTTCTGTCTCATTCCTAGTGGTTTTCCTATAGGCAAAAGCAGAGCTGGGGTGCTTTCCTCATGATGCCATGTCAAAGGCTTGACTGTGCCATGCCTGCTGAAGCACCTTGATACAGGTTGTTAAAAATACCTACCTGATGAAACTAAGCTCAAGACTTCTGTCCAAAATGTTCATGCCTTGATTTCCATGACTGCACTCTTTGGTCTTGAATATTTTTAAATACTGATGTCATTTAGTCAGAGTTGCATTGCTATTTTGTTATTGAACAGAGTATTATGGAGGCCTGAAGGTAAAGAAAACTGTAGTATTCAGAGATGTATTTGTTTCCAGGTAGTGCTTGGTTCAGAAAGTATCTGAGCACAGTTTCAAGGAGGCATTGCCATTTCTTTGGTATTGATGACAAAGGGAGCCAAAGGAGCAAGATCAAGGTGAGCACAGGAGTTGTGCTGGGACAGAGAGCCTGTGTGAGCTGGTAAGAAGAGACAAGAGGAGTGTTTCATCTGGAGAAGATGAGGCTCAGGGGAGGTCTTATTGCCCTCTACAACTCCCTGAAAGGAGGTTGTAGTGAGTTGGGTGTTGGCCTCTTATCCTGGGTAACTAGTGATAGGATGAGAGGGAATGGCCTCATATTGTGCCAGGGGAGATTCATGTTGGATATTAGGAAAAAATTATCCTAAAGAGCAGTAAGGCACTGGAATAGACTGCCTAGAGAGTCATCATCCCAGGAGGTGTTCAAGAAATGTGTAGATGTGGGGACTCTGAGGAACGTGATTTAGTGGGCAATATTGGTGGTAGATGGACAGTTGGACCAGATGATCTTAGAGGTCTTTTCCAACCTTTATCATTCTATGACTCTATGGGACAGGGTCCATTTTCTGGGCACACACCTCAGTGATGTGCTAGGTTTACTGCAGCTGGGCAGTGACTCCTGACAGCTGCAGGTCTCTGGGCTCTTGCAATAATTCACAGAACAGAAGAAGCCTTTTCCTGCAGGGAGGCTTGATCCTGTGTCCTGCACCCATGCAGACCAGGCAGAAATTGCCATGAATGGCTGTGGACTAATGCTTCTGAGCTATCATCTTGTCTTGCATAACAGCCACTTTTTTCTAGTTCTCTCTACTTCTTTTGCATGTTATGTCATTTCACATGTAAATTAATCTGGTATGCAATAAGTTATAATTTACGTATGGTCCTTAAAACACAATAAAGCAACACGGAACTGTGATCAGGATTTGTGACAATTAAATAGCTGAACTTCATTCTTCTTACAAGGCTATAGGGGCAAACAAGATGTGCAGTAGTAGTTTGAGTCTTTCTGTCATCTTTCTTGCTTTCCTGTTCAGTATTTTTCTTCTGCTGAGGTCTTCATGTCTCTATGAATTTCTACACCATTTAAATGCAGCATAAAGAATGGGTAATCCATATTGTGGGTGCAAGCTATTATCACAGTCCTTCTGCATATAGTGTCATCCATGATATCATCAGTTTATCCAGATATGATAAGAAACCAGACTGCATTCTAACATATTATGAATTTGCATAATTTGAGTAATGCTTGTCTAATTCTCAAATCATTGTAAATTGATTTATGTTTTCACTATAAACTTCTTGTTTGCCCCTTCCTCCCCCAGTCTTCATGTCAACTGTGAATATAATTAATGTTTTTTTCTACTTCTGCTTCCAGATAACTGCTGAAAATTTTAAACAAACCAGAGCTCTGGCAGGACCCTGCTAGACGCTTCGTCCAAACATATCATCTTACAACTCAGATAAAAGGATCTGCTGGATTTTCTTTTGGCTGAGATAAGACATTTGTATTCATTGAAACCAATGTTAATGTGAGTAGAAAGAACTGAGATCTAAATTAGATAGATAAGTCATTAAAATGAGGTTATTTTCAAGACAGAACTGTATGAAAACTGGAGAGTGAGGGATGATTTGCATTGACTGTGGACTTTATTTCATGTTGGGTGGTGCTGCCATAGTGTGTGTTTGCAAGTCGCTGAGTAGCAGGCAGTAGGAAGTGTTGGGTTTTGAAGACTCTTAAGTCGTCTTATTCACCAAGAGAGGGCTGGAGGCAATTGGTCTGAGACATCTCCTTCTTGTCTCACTGCTACATGCAGGAATAAAAAGAGAATGAGAAGAACAATAGACATTTGCCTCTCCACCAAATTGGATACAGGCTTTTATTTGGGTTTCTTTTTGACCCTCCCAACCATGTTCAGTTGACATATTTTCTGCTGCTTTTTAAAAATACTGCTTCGTAACAGTAAGACTTGTAAAAAGAATAAATGAGACAATAAAATATATATTAAACAATAAAATCTGGCAGATTAAAACAGTGAGGCAGTGCCCACCCCCTGTCTTCACCTCGCAGTCCAAAGCCACCGCTGAGTGCCTGGCAAGCTGCTCGAGTGGAAGTCGCAGCACAGGCTGCTTGGAAGGATGTCCACTGCAAAGAGATGCATCTCAAAAAGGATTGCCTGCTTGGCCCTCAGATACAGTTTTCTCCTTGTGGGAGGCAAGCTGCCTTTCATTTGTGCCTCTGTTCACATCTAATTGTGTCCCTTGCTCTGGGCCTGGTCCAAGGGGGAAGATTTTTGCTGGCTTCAGTCAGCTTTTGGATCAACCTCTTTGAAGAGAATAGTTGGTAAAAAGACTGCGTGGAGAGCTATGAAGCGCTCATGCATGTTCTCTGTGAGCGTAATGGCATGCTGCTCTCTGAAGTGTTGCATGCATGAGTGCAGGGCACCAAAAAAAAAAAAAAAAGAGAGGAAAAAGTGCTAAGCCAGGAGAAAGAGGGCAGGGGAACTCGATCCTGCATGAACTGGAGTGCAGCTGCATAGCCTTGAGCACTAATGTGCATAGTAGCAAAAGTGAGGCCCAAAAGGGGAACGCTTGACTAAGTGCCTCAGCAGCACTGCGAGATGCTTAAATGCATGTCTCTCCAGGCATGCCTGCTGTGAGCCTGGGTGGGAGCATTAAGGGATCCTGAGATTTAGTGCTTTATGGTGAAAAGGACCAAAGCAGCGTTTAATGTGCACCTGCATGTAAGTCCCTGCTGGGACTGGCACGAGGACATTTCTCAGCACGTGTAATGCTGCGTGGCCATGGCTTTTCATGGGCTGGTGGATATTTTCTCACTTAGCAAGCTCAGTGTTTCTGGAGGGGCTGATAATGTGAATTGCATTAAATAAATAATAATTTAAAAAACCCCAACTAAATAGAGTAGGACAAACTACAGTCAAATAAGATGCTGGGTAAACGTTTGTGCTGTAACATCAGCGGTGACGGAAAGAAGCAAGAGACAAATGTGACCAGACAGTAAATACTATGGAACGAGCATTAGTGATCTCAAATATTTTGCATTTTTTCAAGGTATGAAGGGCAGCTACATACAGGTGTAGAAGGAGAGTGAGGAAACGCATCAGCAGGTGGGACTCCTACTTACGTCAGATCAATGGTGTATCTCAGAGTGGCAGGGTTGAGCATGGAATGCATCCCCAGTAGCTGCTGCTTCCTAGTAAGGAGCATATCTCTAAAAAATATTAACTGGAACCTCAGTAATAAACCGAGAAGCAAACAATGGAAATTTCAAAGAACATGGCACAACTGAGAATGAAATAAATTTGTTTATGGACTGAACCCAAACTGGAATTCTCCCATTGTGTGTTCAAGAAATCCATCTGGGATGCTTAGAGACAGCTGCCACAGACAGCAGGAAGAGTGAACTTCCTTTCCCCAGGCCCAGGGCTCACATGGTCCTTAGCCCAAGGGTATAATGAAAGCTATGGAAACTGCACTGACAAATGTGATGATGTGGAAGGTTTCCCTGACTGAGAAACTTTTGACTGTGAATGAGTTCCGTGGGGAAACCTGACTCAGGCTCCATAGAAAATGAGAGGGAAGCCAAGCAAATATGGAAAAGAAGAGGTAAAGAAATAACTAAAGATAGCATCTGAAAGAGGGAGAAAAAATTACAAGTATAAAGTTAAACAGAAGAACTATGAATGAAGACCCAGAATTGAAAGAACCAAGAAGTAATGGTTGCTTTCAAGTACTGTCTTTTTATTTAATTTTTGGCCATTTTCAGTCAAATTATTTAAGGCTGAACAGGCAATCTAGGAAAAATGTGCAGCTTTTTGGGTCAGTTTTTGATATTAGCCTATGTTTGGAATTTAAATTAACATATTGACATGTTTTGTTGGCTCTGTTATTTGGTTGCTTGTATTCAACACATTCTTTCAGGCATTGTTTTGTCAGTGGTCATTAGGGTGATGTTTTCATGGTGTGTGTGTGTGTGTGTGTGAGATCTAGAGAGGAGGAAGAGGAGAAAGCATAGCTTTCCCCAAATGGGAGTCATGACCAACAAGCTTAGTATGTCAGAGTTGAAGATTAAAAAAAAAAAAGTTTTAATTTCCTTTCTTCCACTTGATGAGGACTGAGTGAAGTGTGACTAGCACAGGATCTACTAGCCAGCCTGGATTTTCCAGTCACTGTATTTTTACAATCCATGCTGAAATGAAAAATATGAATAGCTTGTTACAGCTAATGAGATGAGGATATTCTTCTCAATGCCAGGAGTCTTTACAGGGCAAGTAGGTCACTCACTCCTTGACAATATCCCTCCAGGCTGCTGCTGTGCTCCTGTTAGCTCAGCCCCTTATTGTGTCTTTGGAGTGCAGACGCCTCCCTGACTGCACAGGACAGACAACTGCACGAGGGCTGCTGATTTTCAACCAGATAACGTCCCCACAGCTTGAGCACAGGAAAATCCTCTTGAAGCTTTGGTAACTAGGGCAGGAGGGACTTCCCAAAGCACAGGAGATACGCACACATATGTACGCCCATCGGACACCCGGAGAGCAATTGCCATACATGCTCAATCATTACCTTCCCTATGCAACTCCAGAAATTTCTGAATGTTTTAGCAAATGCAGATTTGATAGCATTTGAAGTGAAGATTGAATCAGAGATCTGGGTGCTGTTGTTTGGAATGCCTGGAAAAGGGTTTTGTTCTTAATTTCTGGCACGCTACTAAGCTTTGCAGGAGAAAGCTAGGACAAACTTTCAGCCTGGAAGAAGGAATGTGGTGGTTATTTGTTTGTTCAGGAGTATGTCTGTGGCTTCCAAGAAAGCCAACAGGGATGCACATGTTTATATATGGGGAAGAATTCCCATCTCCTATGTAAAGCACATCCTTCTTATTTTATGTTTACTGGGGAGACAGCTCATTGTTCTCTATCTGTCAAAATGCTTTGTACTATTTCATTGTGAAACAGTCTCATCAGCAATAGGTGATTTAAACTTCTTTGGTATCATAGAATCACCAAGCTTGAAAAAAACCTCTAAGATCATCCAGTCCAACTGTCCACCTACCACCAATATTTCCTCACTAATCCGTGTCCTTCAGTACAACATCTAAATGTTTCTTGAACACCTCCAGGGACAGTGACTCCACCCTCGTTCCAGTGCCTGATCACTCTTTTGGAGAAGAAATTTTTCCTAACATCCAACCTGAATCTCCCCTGGTGCAACTTGAGACCGTTCCTTTTTGTCCTATCAGTATTTATGCAGGACAAGAGGCCAACACCCACCTCACTACAACCTCCTTTCAAGTACATGTAGTATCAGCTGAGAACTGGTAGTTGTTCAAATCAGGCAGTAGTCCACGTTGAATGCTGATTCCAGAATAAGAATCTGACTTCCCTAATACATTTGAAAGCCCTGGGCAGTGCAATGGACGTGATCTGCAAGCCAGCAGAGCCATTGCCTCCTGTGGGTCACATCTAATGGCCTTGGTGACCAGACATTGCATCCCAAGCCTGCAAATCTGGAGTCCTTTTCTGGTCTGGATACTGTTGAAATACATTGAAATATATATTGAAAATACAAATTTTAAATAACCAAATAATGCTAGATGGGAGGTTTATAGCCACTTTCTACTGAAAGTACCACATTGCTATAAATTTGCCTTGATAAAAAATAACACTGCAGTAGAAATACAACAGGTGCTTTCAAATTGTAAGCAATGACACAGCTGAAGTAACAATGCATTTTTTTCCCATGAATTTAAAAATGCTGTGCTGTCCTTTTATTAGAGTTCAAATTAGACAACCTGTTAAACTATTCAGTGCTCCTACACTGTACTCTAGAAAGCAGTATGCATTTTGTAAAAGAGTTTTTTTTTTTCCCTTAGTCAATCTGTTCAATCAGAAGCAGATAAATCCTTCGGATTATTTAATCCTTTCAAGTGCTTAGTGGATGATCATGATCACTGTTATTTAACAAACTGCCTACATTCACACCTTCTTGTGGAAATAGATACCTACTTTAGACAGACCTGGTGACAGTTGGGTTGTTCACAGTAAAAGGAAGCTGCAGAAGTTTTGCCTAAGCTTTCTTTTCTTTTATTCCAGTTTGTATTTATTCAGCTGACACAAACCTCAGTGACACCTTGAATAAGCTTTATGTAATTGCACCTTGCTTTGCATTGCAGTGGCCTGGAAACATCACATTGCTGTGACTCAGCAGAGGACCTTTTTCTGGAGAGGCACTCCACCTGAGGTGTGTTATCTTTGTTATCTGCTCTTGACAGTTCCCTTGCAATCAATGAAGTGTATTCTTTCAATTCGAGTAGCTTGTTTAAACTATTCATTGCTCGAGCTAATTTATTGTTTAAGCTAATTTATGCTAATTTGAAATACCCAAAATAACAGCTAACAGCTTTTCCATAGATTTAATGAAAAATATTTACAGTATCAGACTGTAAATTAAATTTAAAAGCCTTGGCAACAAGTATGTGCAAATGTGTCAGTAATGCTGCACAAACAGCATAAACTTTGCCTCTCGTAATATAATTAAAACATGCTTAGTTTCAATAAAATTGAATTCAATAAAATTGAAACAGTCAGGACATAGTGGGCTGAAAAACAATCCCTGATGCCTTTGAGAGGAAATACTTGTATTTTTTTAAATTCAAAGTAGAATGAAAAATTCTGTATAGGCTTGAAATTATACTTTGAAATTATGAATAGCAATTGCAGAAAATTACGACGTGAGTATATGCATTTGTTGGTGTTGACTTAGAGAGGTCTTTTGGCTCTTCAGTGGCTCACAGCTGGAAAACGTTTAGAGATAGGCAGCCTTATTAGCTTGTTATTAGTTTCTCCTATCATGTCTCATGGGTAACATCAAAAATACAATACTGCTTTATTCCCCTTTGTCACTCCATTAGATTTCTACTTAAACTCCCATTCTACCATGAGCTCTTAAACACAACTTTGATTTGCATCTCCTCCCGTACTATAGTAAAAGCCATAAGAAACATTACAAAAATACAAACATAGGTTTGAATTATGACCATTTTTAGATGATTCAATTAGCTGCTAATAGGTGTTCACAGTGGTATGTTGTAATGGGAAGTCAGGTTGTAGTTAATGGTTACCATAAGCTGGGACGGTGTTAAAAACAGCCATCCTGTTTAGCTCAGCCATACAATCAGAGCTCTGTCTTTGGAAGTTAGTGTGGAATACTGAATAGGCAGGAACCTGGGTTTTCACTGGTAATTTTATTACTTTTCCTCTAGTGCTCAGTTGATATGAATAGGAATGACTCTATAGAACCATGTAAAGAAGAGCCCTATTAACCCGTAACAATTCTCTTGAGGAATTTTGCATCCCTGTAGGGTGCTTGTTACCGCAATTACGTTTTCCATTATGGATTTTCTTTGGAATGTGCAATCCACGTACAAAAATCAGATAGCTATGAGTGTGACTTAGTTCATCGCCAACACAAAGAATGAGCCCGTTCATGGCTTAGGATTTTAGAACACAGGTAACCACGGCAGAAGGCTAGAGAAATGGAAAAGAGTCTTGTCATCTGATCTTTCCATCTGTGTTACAACTCAAAGATAATTTCACAATTCTGTCCAAACTCGTGCTACTGTATTACAGAATGTTCTTAGTCAGGATATTAAGTGACATCTGATTATGAAAAGGAGAGGATAATACAGGAAAACATACAGTGTGCAGACAAGCCAAATATACAGTGGTATTAACCATTGCAGGCACGTTCACATATCAGCATGTGTAAGTAGAGCGGGGGAGTGTCTTGCAATATGTCTGGTATGTGGATCTGCTGATCCCACTAATTAATATTTATTTTTTGTATTATAACATCGTCTAGAGACCTTAATTAAGGCTCCACTGGGCATATTTCTGTACGTGTATAGCAAAAGGCAGTCATTGACCCCAAAGAGCTCCCAGTCTATCCAGATGGCATAAATGAACAGGAAACTGAGACAAGGAGCGCAAGCTAACGCTTCACCAAGCAGTTGCTGTGAGTGAACACTGAATGAGGCAGCTGAGCTCTACTGATGATGCACAAAATGAACAAGGCATGTAAGAGAAGATGTGATGGCAGATAACATGCTAAGTACTGATCCATGAGAGCTAGATGGTAAAAAGGGGAAGGGTTTAGTCCTCAGCTCTTCCCCAAGCAAGGCTCAGAGCACAGAGGTCTATTTCTGGAGACAAACACTGCAGCCCTGTCCCTAGATGTAAACTGCATCCCTATGCTAGAGAACTGCTGAATGCAAGGTCTGCTGATGCACCAGGACCTCAAACCTCTTAAAACAGCACTCAGCAGTGAGAGAGCTTCTTTCTGAAGATGAGAAGTGAGATTGTTTCTCAGCCCAGCTGGTACCTTTCACATGGGAAAGACTGAGAGAATGTGGATGGGAAGGTCCCCATCCAGTCCTAGCTGTGCTTATTCTCCCTCCAGACATCATTCCTCCTCAGAGTCCCATTATGGGAATGCAGACCTTGGGCAGCTGAGGAAAAAACAGTGGAGGACCTTACAAGCTGGAAAACATGAATATTGAAATAAAGAGCTAGTGAGTGAATCTTCCTGAGGCAAGAGGGAGAAGGCTGAGCAACATGCCTGAGAGGCAATTTAACAGGGAGGGGTTAGGCCTAATTAATCGTTGGGATGAGGAGGTGGGTCAAGAGACAAGTGTTCTACTGAGCATGCCTCAGGCTGAGTCTCCCTTTCAACACATGCTTTATTAATACTCAGAGAGCAGTGGCTCCCTGTATGGGGAAAGACTGGCTTTGGGGGTGGTGGAGTTCTTCTACCTCCTTTCCTTAAGCAAAAATGCCCCATGCAGGCAGACCAGAGGAGCTCCTCCAGTTAAAAGACATTCATAGGCAAACATTTCAGTTGTACTATTTTAAACTATGAAGGGCCTTCCAGTAAGTGATTGAGTTTGGTGAGAGTGCTGTTGTAAAGCAGGAAGATTTGGTGGGAGAAAAGTAGTAAACTCTATTAGGCTCTTCATTGTGCTGATGGTAGGCAAAGCAGAAGGATATCATATACTGCTAATTTAAAGTCAGTGAGGCTCTGTTCCAAAATGAGTTAAGACAGTGTTGTTTTCTTCCACTGAAAAGCATAGGTTTGAGATGTACGTGCTTTGAAAGGTGCTGGTTCTTCAGTAAAGTGCTATTACAAGGCAGCTGCCAATTTAGTCCCTATTGCTAGGGACTGGCAGAACTGCCAGCCCGCCTGCTTGGCTGGCCAGTATTTGAGATGCAAGCAAGCTATGTGTATGTGAAGTTGCACGCTTTCTGATTGAAAAGAAAAGCTAGTCTGCAATAGGTTGCATTTCCTCCAGCCTTTTGAGTGGCAGGTGGAAAGAACTGGACCAAAGCTCTGAAACAATAGCAAAGCTGTTGGCAACCACTGGCTCAAATGAGCTGTGAATGCTTTCACCTACATAAAGAAATGGGAGCAGCTGGAAGATCATTCTGCTCGCTGATCCTGCAATGAAACTGTTTCCTTCTAAATTTTTATGTGGGGACTTCTGGTCTTGTTGCTTCATCTCAGTGTCACTCAGCATGATTTTGGACTTAGTGATTTGGAAATGCTTTTGTAACTTGTAGGCTTACAGAGAACACTGAGCACTCTGGAAAGGCTTCATGGAAGCGTTTGGAGATTTTCACAACAAAACCCAAGGAAGTAGTTTAGCTCTGTGAATGCTGAGAGAATCCCTTACAGCTCAGCAAAGTCCACAAATGGTTTCATGAGGGATATCAAAGCATTAGAAGCTTGGAGGAAAGCAGCTGAAAGGGTGAAAAGAAACAGAAAACCCTCAAGATAGCAACAAATGTCATGGGAGTTCTACTTATTTAGCTTCAAACAAGTCACTTGTCACAGGCTAATGCTACCTAAGGAGGATCAGTAATGGAGAATGAGGGATTTCGTAGTTCAATAGACATAGATGTAACAGAATGTGTTGGCCAGGAGTTGAAGCTGAGCAGCTTCAAACTTATACCCAGGTGTGCATTTTTAACTGTGAGAATAATTAACCATTGGAACAACTTACTAAGAATTGTGGTAGATTTTCCATGATTGCGTATTTATTGTGGTTGTTGTTCAACCACAGCTCTTGAACTTGATGTATGAACTGCTTAGCATAATCTTACAGTCTACGTTGTTGTAGATGTCAGACAGAAAGATTTTAGCTAATTCCTCTGGCCTTAACATCCAAGCATTTTTGTAGGATGGGGAAATTTATTTTCTCCATCCTAGCACAACAGCCACAGGCACTGACAGGGTTGCTGATGGTATTATGGAAAGGCTTGTAAGAGTCTGAGTCTCCAGGCATGCCAGCTCAAATCCAAACAGGCTAGGCTGAGAGTGGACTGTATTGAGCACAGTGTTGAAACATAGGTTGCATTTAATCATCTTGCTTCTGGATGGGTGTGCCACCTGCAAACTGGAGCTGGGTAACCTGGGTCTTGAAAGACAGTGTCATCCTTGTACAGTGGGGTTAGAGTGAAGTCCTCAGAAATGAAGTTGGCTTCACACTATTTGCACTATTCCATACAGCCAGTGCTGCTGAAATAAAGCTACTTAGCTTTTGGTAGGAAGGATGGGACACTAATGATCTTTGTTAAAAAAAAAATAATAATTTCATGCTTGGGTCCCACTCGTTTGGACTTCACAGTTTGTCTTTTTACACCAAAATCTCATTTATTGCCTTCTAAGGAGAACCCTCAGAGTTTTTGACATCCTTTCAGAAGACTAGAGGGAGACTAAAGGCTGTGGCGCTCATGCTGCTGTCTCATTTTACATATACACATATCTTCAGAGAGGTGATATTTGAAAGGGCAAATAGCAGAAAGTTTTTGAAAGCAAAACTGCACAAGATTACATCTTACAGCTCAGATTTTCCTTTGAAGCCAGAAAAATCCAATCAGCAAGAGTCTAATGTTTTCTTTCAGTTGCCTACAGTGAGAAGAGTTGTACCCAAATGAGCACTGCCTATAAAATTACACTCATGCCAGCCTGAAGTAGTGATGGTGGGAGATGCTCTCATGAAAGCCTCTATCTGTCAGGCTGCTTGCCTTTTCAGACACATTGGTCTTAGTGGCCATCTAGAAATGCTGTGGGGCCACAGTAACAAAAGTGGAGATTTCCCTTGAGGATCTAAAGCAAGCAAGCCCACACATGCAGAAGCTCCCTCCTTTATTCCTTTGTGTTACATGAAGCCAAGATCTTGGAGA